CAATGCCCAGCTATTTTTTGTTGTTGTTACGGTTGTCATTGTTGTTTTAGCTGGCCCAGGCCGGGTTCAAACCGCCAGCCTCAGTGTATGTGGCTAGCGCTCTACCCACTGAGCTATGGGCACCACCCTTGAGCGGCTAGTTTTTTTTAAGAAATTAAGGAAAAACTGGTTTTATGTTTTTCCTTGCCTGATTTTTATAGACAGGTTTTCTTAAAAGCAAGACATTACTTATCAGTTCCCTTCATGCTCCCTCCATTTACAGGGTATTTCAGCTAAGAGGGTTGTGGGGGGCCAGTGGAGAGCACATCTCTGGACACCTACTTTCTTACTCTTTTGCAATACCAACCCCCTTCCATTAACTGGCCTTTTAATAAGGCAGTTGGATTTGATGTTTTTTGTCCTGATATCTGGGGTCAGCTCCAATGTAGCACATGGTGGCTGTCTTAGCCTTTCCTTAACCATAGATAAATAGGGACAGGAGAGCAGATAGGAGAGTAAAAGCAGGATTTGTTTGGGCAGAGAGAGAGGGGCACTTGGGGCAGCTGCTATTTCTCCCTGATTCAGGAAGGCAGGTGGCAGTGCCTGTCATCTGAAGCCTACAAAAGACCATTTGTAAGGAGGATGATTGATACTGGGATTGGCTATAAAATGTGGATTTATGGGGACATCCATGCTGTGTGTGAGGAACGGGGAGACAATGAACAGGCTGAGTAGAAGGGCCCTTATTTTTGTAGAAATGAAGCTGGGGATTAGAGTTTAGGATGTGCAGCCCTGGGGAGCAGCCGTATGCAGGGCAGGCCCTGGTTCAGGCACTGGCTGATTGTGATTGGGAGTGGGTGCTGTGTCTCTTCCCCTGTCAAAGATACCAGCCCTCCACCCTGAGCCTTTGCACCCTTTATCCCTGCCTTTACCAGACACAGCCACCATGGGGACAACAGCCCCAGGGCCTATTCACCTGCTGGAGCTCTGTGAACAGAAGCTTATGGAGTTTCTCTGCAACATGGACAATAAGGACTTGGTGTGGCTCGAGGAGATCCAGGAAGAGGCTGAGCGCATGTTCACCAGGTGAAGGCAGGGGCACACTGATGGGGTAGGGAATCTAGGGGCTACCTGGGCTGCCATATGTGGTCTTGGGGACAGAACAGCTCCACTTCCCCACCTGACAGGCAAAATGACAGCCTGTCAGGCATCCCTCCTGAGTGCCCAGTGTGCTGGGGGCCTGACTTAGTGTCATGGAAGAAGGAGAGGTTAGAGTCTGTTGCCTGGGACTGGGCCTCTCAGGGTGTGAACTTGCTTGTCCGCCACGTCTCTGGGAAGACACCCTGATTGGCTGGCAGGTAACTTGCACATGACTTTGGAGAGTGTGGTTGGTACTGGTCACCCCAGCTTGACCTGTCACTGCCAAGAGATGGGTAGGGGCCAGGTCAGGTAGGAGAGTGGTTCCTAGGCAGCCTTAAATGTCATCCTCTTTGTACCAAACAGAGAATTTAGCAAAGAGCCAGAGCTGATGCCCAAAACACCTTCTCAGAAGAACCGCCGGAAGAAGAGACGGGTTTCTTATGTTCAGGATGAAAACAGAGACCCCATGAGGAAAAGGTAAGGGGCAGAGGTGGGTGAACTGGGCAGGTGGGCTCTGTGGAGCCTTGGTGCCCTCTGGGAGAGTTTGGTTCCAAGGGTGTTGATTGGAAGTAGCAGCCTACAGGGCTGGTGATGGGTACCGCTGGGCCATGCTGAAGGGCCAGAAAGGGTGGGAAAGAGATGCATGACCCAAGACCATGGAATCCATAGTGTTCCTCTGTGCTTGTGGTGGGGCAGGTGTGTTTGATCTGAGTCTTGGAGGATGGGAAGGATTTTTAGAGGTGGGACAAGAAATAGAAGCTGAGCTTCTTTTAAGCAACCAGAGGTGTGGACCAGGCAGCTGGTCTCCCACTCTCCTGTCACCATTCTTGTTATATGATTCCCGGTAGAATTATAGGTGGGGTCTTGGGGTCAGGCCTGTGTGTAAACCCCAGCTTTGTTCCTGAGCAGCTGTATGTCTGCAGGTTAAGTTTCCACCTCTCTGAGCATCTGTTTTCTCATCCCTAAAGTGGGAGTAATGGCACCTACTTGTCAGGGCTGTCTTGTGGATTAAGTGAGAATATGTGTAGTTTTCAGCAGGGTTTGGTGTGGCAGAATGTGACTTGAGTTAGTGAGAGGTTTGTGTGAATTTAATCTTCCTAACAGTTCTCTGAGGACTACGGCATTGTCCCCGATTTATGATTAGGAAGACTGAGGTTTACATAGGAATGGCCTCAGAACTAGAGGTGGCAGATGGCCTGGGTTGGAACTCAGATCTTTTGCCTCCAAACCTGTTAATTCATATTCCATCCATGCTGGTGGCTCCTGGGGAGATGGGTGTGCCTAGCATGATTCTTGGGATGCCCCTCTGCCCTCTGGGGCTGTCTCAGCCTCTGCTCTGCTTCCTCTGGCAGATTATCCCGAAGAAAGACTCAAAGCAGCCATCGGAGCTCCCGGTGCCTCCGCAGCAAGGACAATGTGCAGAAGCTTGCCACAGTGGTAGGAGAGAATGGCTCTGTCCCGCGGCGAGTGACTCGTGCTACGGCCGCAGCTGCAGCTGCCACTGTGACATTGGCTGCACCTTCACCCACACCTGAATCTCCTACAGTGCTGACCAAGAAGCCTGAGGACAGCCTTGCCCAGGGCCAGCTGGTGCCTGTGGTAGAGATAGGCATCAGTGAGCGCCAGAGTGCTGAGCTCTGCATCACCCAGTCCAAGTCCACCCAGGCTGTGTTTCAGACTCTTTCCCCAGTCTCTGCTTCAGCCACAGCTGTAGCCCCGCAGGGTGTACTGCCATCAGATGAAGAATCAACACCCAAGAAGACAGAGACTGGGAGACTGGAGTCTGTCGCAGTGAGCACCCTCATGGCTACACCCCAAGACCCCAAGACTCGAGGGGTCGAGACAGGGCGGTCTGTCTCTAAGCTCAGGATAGCAGGGGTGTCCCCAGGCCCACGAGACTCTCCTGGCTCTCTGGACTCTCCATGGCGGCAGCGGGTGCTGGCACCCATCCTCCAGGATAACTCCTCAACGCCCACAAACTCCCATGCGGACACTCGGTCAGTGCGGCGTAGCCTGATCGCCCCATCCTCCCCAGCTCCCCAAGTCTCGCTGGCCCAAAAGTATTCCCTGGTGACTCAAGAGGAGCGTACTATCCGGAGGGCAAGCAAAAGACTTGCCAAGAAGGCTTTCGAAGAGCCAGCAGTCTCTGCTCGTGTCATCTGTGAGTCTGGGCAGCTCAACCATGTTGAAGGTGTGGTGGGTGGTCCTTGGTGCCTGGCTCAGATGGAGAGTTTCTGAGAGACCATCTAGCAAGAGTTGTCCATAGATCCCTCTGTGATGATGCAGATGTCCCATATTGTGCTGTGCTGTGTGGTAGCCACTAGCTAACCATACTGGCCATTATGTTCTCAAAATGTGGCTAGTCTGATTGAGAAACCACATTTTGAATGGTATCATGTTTTACTTAGTTTAGATTTAAATAGCCACATGTAGCTACCATATTGGAAGATGCAGCTTGAACCCAACCTTCTTGTTTTACAAATGGGGCTGGGCGAGGTGACTCACACTTGTAATCCTAGTGCTCTGGGAGGCTAGGCAGGGGGTTTGCTTGAGCTCAGGAGTTTGAGACCAACCTGAGCAAAAATGACACCTCATCTCTAGTAATAAAAAAACAAATGGGGAATCTGAAGTTGGGGAAGGTTGGCTGCAGTGTCCCTATGGTTAATGGTCATGTTGAAGCTGGAATCTGGGTCTTTTTCCCTAGGACCGGTGTTTTCCTCCCCACCCCTTTTCTGTAGGAGCTGTGTAAATTCTTTAAGTTTGTGTGCTGCCTCCTTTTAGCAAAACTTTGGCCTAGAGATAGGAATTCTCAGCAGCTCATTCTGAGAGAACAGATGACTGAATATCTGATGAGAGGCAGGATGGGGAGACCCAAGATGGCCCTGGAACCGACGGCTTGGGTTTGGGTTCTCACTTAGCTATTTACCCACCCTGTGACTTTGGCAGGTTTTAGAAAACTTCATGGACCCCAGTCCTCACCTGTTGACTGAGGGTAACAATAGCATCACTTCAAAGGGTCACTCTGAGGTTTTTTTTGACTAACCCACAGTGTAGATTGGTACCTGGTGTGTAGGAAGGGCTCAGTAACAGTGGCTGCTCTTGTCATCATCAGATCTCAGTTTGGGGACCTTGCTTACGGGAGTAGGTGTGTTAGGAGCCACAGAAGAGAGACAGGGCCAGTGGCATGAGTAGGTGGGGTCTGAGTTTGGAGGGTTTGAAGGATGAGTGCACTTTTGCCAATGGGAAGGATATGGGGATAGATGTCCCTGGGAGAGAGAATAGCTTGTACAAAGACCGCAGGAGCTGAAACAGCAAGTGAGGGGGTATCTGGGCCGCATGTGCTTCACTTGGAGCTTGGGCTTCACCCTACTGAAGCCAAGGAAGTGGCCTGATGACAGTGCTTGATGACAGTTGTTGGGAGGTTCCTGGCACCTTGTGGAAGTGGCCAAGAGGAAGAGAGAGAAGAATGCAGGGAGACCAAGTAGGTAACTGCTACAAGGGTTCAGGCCAGAACATGCACATAGCAGTGGGCCGATAGGAAGGATAAAATCAGCCAGGTTTTACGTTAATTTATATAAAATAGTAGCTGGCATCTGCCTGGCACTTAAAGATTTATAAAAAGTAAAGGTTACTTCATTTGGGCCTTGCCTCAGCATTGTTAGCTTGCTAAGATTCCCCCACTTTACAGAGGAGGAAACTGAGACTTAAGGAGGCCGTGGAATCTGTAAGTTGGGAAGTGAGGCTTGAGCCCTGCATGTTTCATCCTGTCTGGAAAGGCAGGCACTTGCAGAGGAGGCCTTATGGAAAACCCCAGGCAGTGTTTGTTGGGCAGGGTCCATCAGGCAGGTGAGGGCATCTCACCTTGGCAGGTGTCTCCCTGGCCGAGTCACGCTGCCTGGGGCTTGGGCATGTGCAGATGTGCAGTCTGGCACAGTGTCCGTGTTTGGATTCTCAGAAGGACCTCGGTGGTTCACGTATGCCTTGGAGATCTTCTCAGGCCTGGATCTTCTCCTGTGAAGGAGTTCAAGGGGGTAGGTGAACCTGGAGGGCTGGCCAGGCAGCACGGACACACAGATCTGCAACTCGTAAGCCCTTCTGATGGCCGTTCCTCCTTGTCCCCTTCCCTGCTTATGGTGGGATCTTAATTTGGTACATGTGACCCAAGTCTATCTGACTGCAAGCCTGACTTTGTCAGCCTTTTTGAAGTGGAAAAAAGAGGGAGAAGAGGAGGCATGATGCAGGATCTGAAGTCACACAGACCCCGGGTAACCTTGGACACACCCCTTCCCTCCATGTCAGTTCCCCGTCTGCGAAATGGTGACATTAACCTGCTTTGAATGTGAATAGAGAACCTATTCTAGTGCTTGACTGTGGTGCATGCTCAGTAGATCTTATTTAAACAAAACAAATTATAGGATCCAGGAACAGCCAGTGTCTCTGGTGCTCAGTATAGGTGTGGCCAGGCTGACCCTAAACAAGGAGCTATAGGATTTGGGGTGGTGATGGGGTAGAAGGCTTCCCAGGGACCTTCCTGACCCCAGGCTCTGGGGAATGGCTCAGAGCAAATCTGAGGTGGGATCTGGGGTTGGGTTCTTCCTCAAAAAGCTTTTGGTGCCAGGATTTGAGTGCAACTTGGTAATTTTGGAGGGGAAGGAAACACCTGCAGTTAGAGGAGTGGGGAAATGAGATAGGCTGGCAGTTAAAGTGGGTGTGGGGGTCTGGAAACCAGTGTGGGTGCTGGGGTGAGGAGCTGCTTTGGGGGGCATAAGGCCCCTGGCCTGGTGTGCACCTGCTTGAGAGGGCTGCTGGGCAGCAGTTCTGTGTTACTTAGGCAAGGGACAGGGCCACTAATTCACGGCTGTTGGAGGGTCCTCTCTGGGGCTCCTGGCCACCTGTGCATTGGGGAACAGCCCAGCCTCCCGGTCCCTCTGCCAGGCCTTAGGCCACCTACCTGCCACCAGACTGGCTCTGAGGCCCTAGTGGTAAAAGATGGTGCAAACATTCTAGTCCTTGTGCTATATAGTCACGTGGGTGTCTGTCTTCTCACCCTCCTGCCCCCTCATCAGGGAGCCCTCAGGTGGTGGCACTCATCCCCCTTAACCACTAATCTGGCCCTGCAGCTGGTCCCTTCACCCCCAGCTTGACTCTTACACCCAAGAAAGGTTGTGCTTCCCTTCTCTCTATGGCTGGCCAGTTGTTGTCCCTCTTTCCCTGGGACCCTGGACACCCCGGTCTCACCCTGGATGCCTCCCAGTCTTACGTCTGGCCATGCGCCTGTGGCTTGGGGTGTGCCAGCCAAACTGGCCATCTTTCCGTTCCCCCCAAAACCTTCCCTGCCTCAGGGCCTTGGCAGGAGCTTTTCCTTTTCCCCAGCTAGTGTTGCTCAAGTTTTGGTCTTAGTACCTGCTTCCAATTCTTAAAATTATTGAGGACCTAAAAATGCTTTTGAGGATGAGGTTGTATTTCTTGATAGTTACTGCATTAGAAATTGAAACTGGCCCAGTGCAGTGCCTCTTGCCTATAATGCTAGCACTTTGGAGGCTGAGGCGGGAGAGTTGCTTAAGCTCAGGAGTTAGAGATCAGCCTGAGCAAGAGTGAGACCCATCTCTGCTAAATACAGAAAAACTAGCCAGGAATGGTGGTCCATACCTGTAGACCCAGCTACTTGGGAGGCTTAGGCAGGATGATTGATCACTTGAGCCCAGCTGTTTGAGGTTGCTGTGAGCTACAAAGCTATAGCACCCAGTGTGGCAAGAGTGAGACTTTTTGGAGAGAGACCTCAAGTTGTCACCCTGGGTAGAATGCTGTGGCATCACAACTCACAGCAACCTTCAACTCCTGGGCTTAAGGGATTTTCTTGCCTCAGCCTCCCAAGTAGCTGGGACTACAGGTGCCCGCCACAGCGCCTAGCTATTTTTTGGTTGTAGTTGTCGTTGTTTGGCAGGCCTGGGCTGGATTCGAACCTGCCAGCTCTAGGGTATGTGCGTGGCGCCTTAGCTGCTTGAGCTACAAGTGCTGAGCCCAGAGTGAGACTCTGGTCTCAAAAAAAAAAAAAAAAAAAAAAAGAAAGAGAGAAAAGAAGAATTAATTAAAATTGAAGAATTTAAAAATATTTAAAATACTATTTATTTTTATTTTAATATTAAAAATGAAAGTAGCCAAATATTACCTGTTAACATAAGGTTTTGACTGGCATTATCTAACATTTTGCAGATCTTTTTAATGTGTGGCTTAAAAGAGGAGGCAGATTCTGCATTCAGTTTGGTGCATTTTGCTGTTTGGGTTCAGGTATCAGAAGGAAATCCGGCCTTACACAGATGAGCAGTTAGAAAAGGGAGGACTATCTTGGTAGCTTTTTCAGATAATTATAGGTATTCTTTGTTATCACACCCAACACAAGCCTTTCTTAAAGGCTCATTGCAGTGTGGGATCTGAAATATTTAATTCATTGTAATTCCACATTGATCTACCTTGCATTTTGAATGGATTTTTCAGCCATGTCTGATTTTGTAACCTCTCGGCCATTTGGAAAATACTAGTTCACCAAGTTTGGTACATCTTCTAAATCTTGACACACTTCATTATACTGGGTGCCCCAAAGGTCACCCATAAAGTCATCATACATAGGGAAAATGGGAAATTGTATCTAAATGTATGTTTATTTACAAAATAATCATTATAAAATTTTACAAAGAGGTAGCCAATATGTAGAGATTTTTTTTATTTTATTTTTTGCAGTCTTTGGCCGGGGCTGGGTTTGAACCTACCAAATTTGGCATATTGGGCCAGTGCGCTACTCCTTTGAGCCACAAGCACCGCCCAAGAATATTTTTTAATTATTTTATAAACAAATATTGTCCACATGTATGTTAGATGTTTTATTTTAAGAGGTAAGAATCACTTCATTTATTTGTAAGAAAATGTCTTCCATAAACGCAAGATTGACCATAGTTTGTTGGCCGTTTTTTTTTTGAAATAGTTTTTGTTGCCCAGACTGGAATACAGTGCAGTGGCCTCACCATAGTTGACTGCAGCTCTCAGCTGCTGGGCTCAAGTGATCCTCCTGCCTCAGCTTCCCAAAGTGTTGGGATCATAGGCACGAGCCAGCATGCCTGGACTGTCAGTTGTTCTTTTAATTAACATAGTGTTTTAATTAAAAATAATGTTTCATGAAAAAAAGTGGTTAGTTCAGCTGGCAGGATAGAGGCACGTGCCCTTCACAGAAATCTGGGTCTGCAGCATCTTGAGTCCTTCCCACTCTATCACACAGGATAGTAGATAGACATGTACTTGCATATAGTTTTAATAAAATTGATAGTTTTATGCCTTCGTCAAAAACATTCGTCAGTGCAACTGGCCATTTCCTGCCTGTGAGTGTGCAATCTGGGGCTAGCTCAGGCTTCAGCAGCTTTTACCCCATTGTTCTTGTGCCTGCCTGGCAAATGTCAGCACAGCAAAAAGGGAAAATGATATTTTGGTGTTATAGTGAAAATACTTATGTCCTTATGGGTCCTGCAGAAGGGTCTTGGGGACTTCTAGCGGTAACAGAATATACTTTGAGAACTGCTAGCCTGCACAGCTCCCACCCCCACACTGTTCCCCTTTTGTCTGTAAAGTTCTACATAGCAGATCTTACAGGCCACCTCAGGTGTCCCCATTACAGGCTTTCAGAATTTTCTGTTCTCTTCTGTCATCACATTATCATAGTGTCGTTGATAAGATTTATTTGATTATTGTTATCAAGACCAGATAGTGATTCTGTTTTACTCACCAAGAAGTCCCTGGCGCCTGGCTCCAGACCCAGTACATAGAAGACAATCAGTGAGCATTTGCTGAATGAATAAGCTGCTTTGTGTTGGGCCCGTTGCTGGGAGTCAGGGGCCTGGAGCTGCATCAGACTTTGTCCCTTTTCCCAAAATACCAGTCCAGTGAATAAGCCGAGATGTGGCCTCACACAGGTGTGTTCCCAGCTAGGAAATAGCAGGGACATAAAGACAGCAGCTCTGTTGAGGATGCTAGGGTGCATGCGGAGGGTGAGGGCCTAGGGCATGGTAGGGCCTCCCTGGCTAGTGCAGGGAATGGTGGCCAAGTTCCTGCTGGAGGTTGATTTCCTAGACCTCTTAGAGTAGTACTTGTCTGGTTTCTGATGGCATCTTTTGTTCCTTTGTTTTCTCCCTCAGGTCACAGTTACCTAGAGAGACTTCTGAATTTTGAAGTGCCCCAGAAAGTTGAGTGAGTTCAGTTCCTAGGCCTTGGGGATGGCCAGGGACAGTGGGGCTTGGGGAGGAGAGACAAACTCCAGAACTAGAAGCATTTCTTGGGGCTGAGCCCTTCCCACTGACTGCCCAGGGTCCCCTCTTCCCCTCTGAGCCTGGCATCCTTACTCTGGGGTAAGGTGTGGGCTCTTTTGGCTGGGGATGGGCCAGCGCAACCATGAGAAGCCATGTTCAAGTTGGGGTGGGTAAAATGGGAGTGCTCTAGGATTATACTTAGTGTGCTTCAGGTCAGAACACTGATTCCTTTTCCTGGAGGCCATGTCCTCCCATCACTAAAACTAGCCCCCTCCCTCCTTCCTTCAGAGCAGAGGGATCAGTGCTTGGAATGTGGGTGGGAGTGGGGTAGCTGGGCAGACCTGCTGGCTTTGCTGGCCCCATGGTAAAGAGATGCTTAGGCCTAAGAGGTTGAGACAGAGCTGGATGGAGGGCTCATGGCCTGAGTCAGAGCTCTGCTGGGGCTGAGAGGAAGCCAGGGAGCTGCTGCCTATGAGCTGTCCTCCCATCTGCAGGGGGCTGTGGGTTTGTGGCCAGGGATTGGGGAAGAGCTTGGACTGGCTGGGTGGTCCCCACAGTGTCCCTGCTCTGCTTTCAGCCCCAAGGAGGAGCCCGGCAAGAAAGCTAAGCCTACAGAATTAGCAGAGCCAGAGGTAAGAGCAGGGGTCCTCAAACTTTTTAAACAGGGAGCCAGTTCACTGTCCCTCAGACCGTTGGAGGGCTGGACTGCGGGCCCTGGGATGAGTTGGCTGCTAAGCAGGATAGGCAGCCACAGCGGGCAGATAAATGTCCTAGGCAGGCCGCATGTGGGCCGTAGTTTGAGGATGCCTAGGTAAGAGGCAGCAGGCTGGGGAGGAGGACTCAGGGGCCTCCAGGACTCCTGCTCTGCACTGCAGCCATCCTGGGCCTCAGGACCCCTAAATCATTGGTTCTTCCCACAGTCTCCTGAGAATGATGAGAATAACTTAGGGCTCCACAGTGCCACCAAGACTGCCCTTAGTACACCCAACCAGAAGCCTACAGCCAGCAGCCAGGAAACACCCTCTGGAGGACAGCAAGGTGAGTCTTCCTGGCCTGCGTGCAGATCCCCAGCTCTGCAGCTTCCCTGGCTCCTTGGCTTGACCTCTCTGGGATGAGGAAGCCTCCTTTTCTGGGCTAAAAGACCAAAGGTAAATGAAACTGGGCTAGGTGGGTGCATAGATCTCCTTCGTCTATGGTTTCTTTCCTACCTTTGGGCTAGAGCTGCTACCTAATGCCACATGAGTGGCCATGACTGGATGGGTCAGGACTCGGAAAGAGCCTGAACTGGGGTATTAACATGACAGTGCCAGGTCAAGGCCTTGAGCTTGGTACCATGGTGCAGCAGGAAGGTTCACCTACCTGGCCCCCTGTTTTGTCTGTCCTTTGTAGGTCCTTCCCTGTTGAAAGAGGGCAGGAGAGCTGTGGGCTCTGGGAGCTGGTCCGGAGCCTGCCTGACCCTGCAGGCTGCTAGGGGCAGGGAAAGTCCTGGGATGGGTCTCACATCTCTCTGGGAAGGGTGCTGCTCTCATTGGTGAGAAGAGGGATGTAGCTGTGAGATCTTGGACATGGCTTTCTCCTCTTTACAGTAGGGTCGGGGGTAATGGTGTGCTACTGCTCCCAGGGGAACTGTAGCAAGAAACCTTCAGGGTGAGGGGTGCTTTCTCCTAGCAGTGAAACAGAATATAGTGACCCTGTATATTCCCCTCTTGTCACTGCTGTACCAGCTGAAAGGGCCAGGAGGTGTGGGATTTAGAAGCTATGCAAGGAGCTGTTAGAGCTGCAGCTCTGTGAGGCATCTGCACTCAACCCTCAGTGTTAGAGGTGGGCATGGCCATGGCTGGGGCCTCCTTGATAGGACTGTCCTGCCTTGCTATGCTTGTCACAGAGGCCAGGCATGGGGGACCAAGTTGGGCTCTGATGTCTGATAAATCTCTTAAGGCCAGTCAGGGCTAAGGCTGATGTTTCTGTGACTGGCCACTCTGGGGGCTGCCAGGAAGGGAACTTTGCTCCTTCCAAGGCTGCAGTTGCCAGGGCACACCTTCCCCTAACCCTTCTTGGCCATTCCTCTGCAGCCTTGCTGAAGTTGTTGTCTTTACAGAGGCCAAGACTGACCAAGTAGATGGACCCAAAGAGCCACCTCAGAGTGTCAGGTTTGTACTGGGAAGGGTGGGTGACTGTTCCAAGGGGCCCCGAGGGACATGACCCTGAATCCTCCCTCAGAAAGGGTGGACAGTGGTCAGTGGTTCCCTAGACTCTCGCCCAGGGTGTGGCTTTATGCTCTGACTTAACAAAGGAGTTGGCTGCTTGATGCAGGATAATGTGTCATTCACACTGTCCTTCGGCAGCTTCTTGTCATGACCTTGGACTAGTCACCTCTATTTCTCTGAATGGGCAGCAGAGGGTTGGTGAGGGAGACCCTAGCTCTCTGTAGTCCCTTTTAGTCTAAAGGCCTATGGCGTGGGCCCAGTTTTATTCATATGGGTGACCTTGTGTAGGGTGTGTCTGGGGCTATGGTGGTTTATCCTGTGCCCACGTTGCTACCTGTGCCTTGGCAGGAGGAAGCGCAGCTACAAGCAGGCGGTGAGCGAGCTGGACGAGGAAGCACACCTGGAGGACGAGGAGCTGCAGCCCCCCAGGAGCAAGACCCCTTCCTCGCCCTGTCCGGCCAGCAAGGTTAGCCAGGGCCCTGCCCTCCTTTTGTTCCCTGTCCTGCCTGTTGAATCCTGACACTCATCTTGGTCTGCAGGTAGTGCGTCCCCTCCGGACCTTCCTGCACACGGTGCAGAGGAACCAGATGCTCATGACCCCAACCTCAGCCCCCCGTGGCAGTGTCATGAAGTCCTTCATTAAGCGCAACACTCCCTTGCGCGTGGACCCTAAGGTGAGGGGGCCGTGTCCTAGGTCATGTGGCCATTGGCTCCAGCCTCTCCCCTAGACTGCTAGGAGTAATGTGGGTCTGGGCAGAGGCGGGCAGGCCTAACTCAAGCCTCTGAGGCCACAGCTGCCTTGACATCTGAGCACATTGTCTCAGATGTGCTCAGATCATATTCCCTGATCCTGTGGGCTCTGGACTTTGGTCCAGAAGCTTGGCCAGCTCAGTGTGAGCCCTGGGTCATGGGTTCAGAGCTGAGAAGTTGCAGGACTGGCCAAGCAGATCTCTGCACTGCCTCACCATCCCACGGCCCCAGGGCCCGAGTGGACTTTGTGAGGGGCACATGTGCACACCTTCACTGATGGGGCTGAGGGTTGGATAAGAGGAAAGGAGGGGGCGCTCTGGCAAGTGGGTACAAGCCCCAAGATGCTGGCCCAGCCTAGCATGTGACCTGCCTTCCAGGATGCCCCCTGCATGGCCATTAACTTTCAGCTTTTTCCTTTTCTCCTCTCCACAGTACAGCTTCGTTGTAAGTAAAGCCTTTTCCTGTGTGGTAACCTAGCCTTACCTAGCACTTACCCTGTGGTAGCCCTGTCCCTGTGCCACTAACAATTCCTAAAGACGCACTAACATCATATCTGGAGGGCAGCATCAGGAGTGTGGGCAGTGAGGGGGGGGCGCACTGGCTGGAGACACTCAGTGAGGCCCTCTTTGCCCTCACCTCTGCTCCCAGCAGGAAGCAAGGGGGATGTGGCCCCTAGCTGTTCACCAGAGCTACAGCTTGAAGATGTCCCTCACAGCTACCTCCCTCCTCTCCAGCAATGGGCCTCCCTCAGGGTCTGTGGGTTTGTGAAGAGAACAGACAAGTCATTTCTGGTCCCTAGAGACATTGAGATTTATTGGGTCTAGGCTGGCATGGTAGCTTATGCAGGTAATCCTAGCACTCTGGGAGGCCGAGGCTGGTAGATTGCCTGAGCTCGGGAGTTCAAGACCAGCCTGAGCAAGAGTGAGACCCCATCTCTACTAAAAATTAAAAAAAAAAAAACAACTAGCCAGGTATTGTGATGGGTGCCAATGGTACCAGCTGCTCGGGAGGCTGAGGCAAGAGGATTGCTTAAGCCCAGCAGTTAGAGGTTACTGTGAGCTTGTGACACTACAGCACTCTTCCCAAGGCAAAAGAGTGAGACTCTATCTCAAAAAAAATAAAGGGGGTAAGGGGAGATTGATTGGGTCACACACCCGTGTAGTAATCTTGAAGCTGAGGGGTAGTAGGGAAAGGGCAGTCTGAATTTGTCTGAAGCTGGAGGCTGAGTCTTACTTTGCCAAGTGACAGAGGAACTGCCAGTGGTGGCATCTGGAGACAAACCGCAGGAGCTGTTCTCTTCTCAGATACCTCAGAGCTGAGGTGAGCCAGGCTACTAGCTATGAGCAAGGGGCCTCAGAGAGCTGGGGCCTGCTCAGCTCTCGTCCCAGCTCCCTCTGCCAGTTGCCAAGTCTACAGCCATTTTGCCGCTTTAGTTCCTGCAGCCTTTTTCCTCCCGGCCACACAGTGATGTCCTGTGGCAGCCGGGAAGATCTGTGCGTCCAGGTGAGGGGCTTCCCAGCACCTGGCTAGATAGGCGCTGACTTGCTTTCCTTGCAGACACGCCCATCCCTTTGGTTGGACCTGGTGATAGCATGCCTTCCCCTACATCACAAATGGGCTGTGTGGTATTGTTGACCTATTTTCATGCCAGGCCATTGCCAGGCACCTGGGCCCATATTCAACAGAAGACTTAGACTTGTTCCTCCTATGAGTGGCCACCTGTGCCCCACCCAGTCTGATCAGAGCCTTGTGGGTCATGTGGGTGTGACTGAGAAGCCCAGGAAATTGCCCTTTCCTGGTTTGGAGATCCCAGGTCTCTCACAGGCATCTGGTGGATGTGGACAGTCCTTAGTTAGGAAACTGAGGCCCAGGAGGGTCACAGGGACCTTGGGGCTTGGGACAAGTTTCTTAACCATTGGGCCTAAGTTTTCTGGTCCACAAAGAGACCAGTTGGGTACTTCATGGTGGTTTGGTGAACCAGAGAATAATGGTGTCAATCAGCTAGTGCAGGGCTTGGTATCAAGTATCTACCATTGGTTAAGCGGTAGAGATTGCTCAGGGGAGGCCCCTGATGCAGATGGAACTGTCTTGCTTATTTCCTCCCACCCTTTACTTTGGCCTTGAGGGCATCCTCTGGAGAGCAAGGACAACCCACTTGTGCCGGTTGGAAGAGAGGAGAAACACATATTCTGTTAACACTTGGCTTAGTACCTATAGCTCAGTGACTAAGGCGCCAGCCACATACACCGGAGCTGGCAGGTTTGAACTCAGCCTGGGCCTGCCAAAAAACAATGACAACTACAAACAAAAAATAGCTGAGCATTGTGGCGGGCTTGGGAGGCTGAGGCGAGAGAATTGCTTAAGCCCAAAGTTTGAGGTTGTTGTGAGCCATGATGCCATGGCACTCTACCGAGGGTGACAAAGTGAGACTCTGTCTCAAAAAATAAATAAATAAAATAAAATTGGTTAACACTCAGCTTTGGGATTAAAAATCTGCAGTGCTGAGCCTTGTTGACAGCTGGAGTCTTGTTGGCACTTTGAGCAGGAAGAGGGTGAGGGTAAGGGATGGGGGTCTGGGTAAGTGTGCCTGGTACCAGGGGGCATTTACTTTCAGGGCACTTTCCTAGCAGGAGAGTTGGGGGTGGGGGAGCGTAGGATGGGAAAAGCAGGATTGGGATCCTGCCCTTTTGCTGTTCTTCCCTGGGCCTGGTAGTTGCCAAGCTTAACAAGCTTAAGCAGGCCACCCCCACTCTCCACGTGCATCCCCTTAAAAGCCAATGTCTACCAGGCCCTTCCTGTGTCCAACTTGGCTTCCATGGCTCCTGTATCTCTTCCCATTTCTCTGTTCATCTTCTAAAACATGTTTTAAAAAAAATTATACCTATAGTAAACTGGACTTTCTGGGGGAGTACAATTAAATATGAATTTTAACATGTGTATTGATTCCTCTAATACTACCACATGGTGATAGAGGACATTTCCATCACCCCCAAAATGCCCTCTGCTACTACTACTCCTTTATAAGTCACATCCTCCCCCAACCCCTGTTCTCTATCTCTGTATTTTTATCTTTTTGAGGACGTCACATAAATTGTATTAACTCATGAGATGCCTTTGGAGATGAGCTTCCTTTACTCAGCATAATCTTCACACCCACCTAAATGATTACAGTTGAAATGAGTTTCTTTTATTTTTATTTTTATTTTTTGTAGAGACAGAGTCTCATGTTATCGCCCTCAGTAGAGTGTTGGGGCGTCACACAGCTCACAGCAACCTCCAACTCCTGGGCTTAGGCGATTCTCTTGCCTCAGCCTCCCGAGTACTGGACTATAGGCGCCTGCCACAATGCCCGGCTATTTTTTTGTTGCAGTTTGGCCGGGCCGGGTTTGAACCCACCACCCTCGGGTATATGGGGCCGGTGCCCTACTCACTAAGCCACAGGCGCCACCCTGAAATGAGTTTCTTAGAGACAGGGTATAATTGGGTAAGATTTTCTTTCTTTCTTTTTTTTAAAATTCATTCTGACAATGTCTTTTATTTGATGTTTAATGATATGTTTGGATTTAGGTCGACCTTTTTGTTTATCTGCTTGTTCTCTTTATTTTTCCTTCTGTTTCTTTTTGTCTTTTGCAGGGAGTTACTTGAACATTTTTTTAGTATTCCATTTTAATTACCTATTGTGATTTTGTTATCATTTTGGAGAGTTTTTCAGTGGCCCATGTGGGCCACTTAAGTTCTATACTTAACTTTTCACAGTCTGTTCAGCATCAGTGTTTTACTTGGAACATAGAAACCTTACCCTGCATCTGTCTTTGCCTCTTCCCTGCTGTATGCTCTGGTTGTCTTATAAATTACATCTATTTAATATATACATAGACCCATTGACCGTCCCATTAGACATGTTATAATTTTGACTTTTGGCTGTTGAATATTTTAAGGAACTTCAGAAGAACAGAATTTTCTGCTTATCCACGTATCAACCATTTCTGTTGCTATTCCTTTGTTCCTGTTGTTTGTGTTTCCTTCTGATACTGTTTTTCTCCTGCCTGAAGAACTATCGTCATTCTTTTAGAACAGATGTGCTGATGAGTTCTCTAGTTTTCCTTCATCTGAGGATATTTGGTTCACCTCTTATTTCTGCAGAATATTTTCACTGGATATAAAGTTATTTTCCTTCAGCAAGTTAAAAACGTCTTTCTGGCCTCTGATTCTGATGAGAAGTCTTTAGTCATTCAAAATTGTTCCCATACAAGTAATGGATCCTTTTCTTCTGGCTGCTTTTTTATTTTATTTTTTGAGATGGAGCCTCAAGCTGTTGCCCTGCGTAGAGTGCCATGGCATCACAGCTCACAGCAACCTCTAGCTTCTGGGCTCAAGTGATTCTCCTACCTCTGCCTCCCAAGTAGCTGGGACTACAAGCGCCTACCACAACGCCTGGCTATTTTTTGTTGAAGCCGTCATTGTTTGGTGGGCCCGGGTTGGATTCGAACTCGCCAGCGCTGGCGTATGTGGCTGGCGCCTTAGCTGCTTGAGCCACAGGCGCTGAACCTCTTCTGGCCGCTTTTGATGTTTTTCCTTTGTATTTAGTATTTAGCAGTTTGATTATAGTGAATCTGGCCATAAATTTCTTTGGATTGATCCCATTTGTGGTTGGCTGACCTTGAATCATAGGTTTGTATCTTTCACCAAGCTTGGGACATTTTCAGCCATTATTTCTTCGATTTTTTTTTCAGCATCCCCCTTTTCGCCTCTCCTTGTGGGTGCCAATGACATGAATGAAGACCTTTGGTATCGTCCCATTGTTCCCTGAGGCTCTGTTAATTTTTCTTCAATATTTTTTTCTCTTTGTGCTCTGATTGGACAATTTTTATTGTTTTATGTTCAAGGTAGAATGTGTGTACTCCCATCTTACTCATGACCAGAGCCCCTTCTCTTCATGTTCAGGAGGATGTATTACCTTTGAGCCAGGTTTCTAGGGGGAACTACTCTAGTTAGGATGAGGGCGAGGGTCCACGGAGAAATTGACTGTAGCCAGTACAGGGAGATAGAAGTGGCTATTTGATACTGAGCCCTGCGATGGGAGACTGGTGGGAGCCAGGTTGGGGGTAATGGTTAGGGGCCCTCAATCTGGGGTGAGTACCACTCTTGTCCTTGACCAGGGAGGTGCTGACTTGAAGCCCGGCCTGTCCCTGCTGGTTGCCCGCTGCTATGGCCGTGTTCCTGGGCCTTTCTGGGTCTGCCCTGGAGAGGATGCCAGCATTAATCTACTACTGTTTAACTACTAATACTTTTTAAAAGTTGTTTTTAAATTTGTTAACACAGCCGTATCAGAGGAAATTTGGAAAATAAGGGAAAGAATACTATCCCTAATCTGTCTTATCAGCCTAAGTAACCTCTGTTAGCATTTGGAAATTTTTTCTTTTGTTTTTTTCAACTATTATTTTATTTATTTCAACTATTATGAAATATGTTGATATGTACAAAGGAATGTGTGTACACATATAGTATATAATTATAACACATAACTGTAACAGATTAACATTGCACTACCTCCTTAAATAGAATGTTAATTATAACTTTCAAAGCTGCCTTTCTGACCTTTTGTAAGGGACATTCTTCCCTCTTTTCTTCATTTTTTTAAGCGCACTGTTTATGTAGCGCATCAGTCCAATTTTGAGCCTGAATTTTGTGCTGCTTACGACCTGGCAGGGTTGAGGGCACTTGTGACCCAGGCCCTTGGGTGTGAGGCAGTTGGGTGCTCCTGGGAGGAGGGATGAGAGCCACCCACCTTGGTCTGGGTGAGGATGGAGGGAGTGTTGGGGGCATCTCTGCCTCTAAGTCTAACCATTCTGATGCGGTTGCCCATGTGTCTGTGTGCCGCTGGGGCCTGTGAGCAGCCTTGGGTGAGGGGGCTTGTCCTTGCTCACGTCCTGCTCCTCCCCTGCCCTTCCCCGCCCTCCCCCCAGGAGAAGGAGCGGCAGCGTCTGGAGACCCTGCGGCGGAAAGAGGAGGCCGAACAGCTGCGCAGGCAGAAGGTGGAGGAGGACAAGAGGCGGCGGCTGGAGGAGGTGAAGCTGTAAGTGTCCCTGCTCCCGGTTGACCTGCCCCAGCCTTGGCAGGGCTCCCGTGACTCCTCTGTGCCCCACAGGAAGCGTGAAGAGCGCCTCCGCAAGGTGCTGCAGGCCCGCGAGCGGGTGGAGCAGATGAAAGAGGAGAAAAAGAAGCAGATCGAGCAGAAGTTTGCTCAGATCGATGAGAAGACCGAGAAGGTGTGGGCCTGGGCTATGGGAGGCTGAGCCTTGGGTAGGCTGGGCCCTGCTGGGTTGTAAGCAGTTGATTTGGCTGCCTGAGGGTTGAAACTGGACCCCTTGGAAAGTTGGGGTTTTGACACCCTTTACTCTTCTGTGTTTGCCCCACGGACCCTGAAGGAGCTAAGCTGAAGGTTGAAGCACCCAGCTGAGGGTTTTCCCGGCAGGCCTTTGCGGGTTGGTGGTCTCATGCTCCTAGGCCTCTTCTTCCCTGGGCTGTGGGGGAGCAAACCAGATGCGCTGGGCCGTGGAATGCCTGTCACACAGGGTTCTGGGAGCAGGGCTGCTCCAATGGGCACATGTGGGTGACCTTTGCAGGCTAAGGAGGAGCGGCTGGCAGAGGAGAAGGCCAAGAAAAAGGCGGCAGCCAAGAAGATGGAGGAGGTGGAAGCACGTAGGAAGCAGGAGGAGGAGGCTCGCAGGCTCAGGCGGCTGCAGCAGGTGCAAATGCAGGTGGCCTTGGAGAGGGGTTGGCAGGACAGACACCTCTCATACCATGGGGACCTGCTGGGTACCGGGAAGGTTTATCAAATGCCTCCAGGAGGGGGATGGTGACTGAAACCTGCCTTCTATAGAAGTGAAGTTTAAGGGTTAAGTACACACACTCTACTAGACTTCCTTTCTCAGTGCAAATGCATGTGACCTTGGGTAGGTGACTTGGCCTCTCTGTGCTTCCATTATGTCAAGAAGCAATGGTATCTACATGGTAGGGTTGTTGTGAGGATTAAATGTTAATGTTTGTTCCCTACGTGATTACTATTATGACTGATCCCTGAAATGTTCCACTCAGCTCTCCCTGGGGACTGTCAGTCTTACGATTTTAGGGGAATGCAGATCTGTCATTAGGGCTTTTGTTGCTGATAACCAAGGTTGCTTATTTACTCTGTGCTAGGCACCATTCTGTGTGTTGTGCATATAAACTCAGCAGCTCCCTGTGGTGTAGGGATGACTGTTGTCCCCATTTTATGGATGAGGAAACCTTAAACCCAAAGGCATTAAATGGATTGCCTAGCGTCACACAGCTGAGTTTGGCCCCAGAGTCCCTCATATGCTAAATCTGCTATAGTAGCAGCAGCTGAAGTTGTCACAAGATGCCTTCGTAGCCTGGTGCTGGCGATTCTTGCAGGGCCTTGCTTGGGAAGTCCCTCAGTTTTGCCCCAGTGTTGGTCAGTGTGAGGTTCCAAGGAACATCCTCTCTCTGCATGGCTACTGTCCTGCCTCTCTGGCCCAGGCCTGGCCACGATGCCTCACCGTGCTCTCCATCTTAGGAAGAGGAAGAGCGGCGGCACCAGGAGCTGCTGCAGAAGAAGAAGGAGGAGGAACAGGAGCGGCTACGGAAGGCGGCTGAGGCCAAGCGGCTGGCCGAGCAGCGTGAGCAGGAACGGCGTGAGCAGGAACGGCGTGAGCAGGAACGGCAGCTGGCTGAGCAGGAGCGCAGGCGGGAGCTGGAGCGGCTCCAGGCTGAGAGGTGAGGGGCCTGCTGGCCAGGCAGCGCCTGCCTGCGGTTGTGGCCCTCACCTAGATACAGTCCCTTCCTCCACTTGGGGGTTTGCAAGTGCTTTTCTGGGCTCTAAACCCAGAGGCCCATGCCTAGCGGGCTACCTGGCTGGTTGCAGGAGATTCAAGGAGCAATGGGCGGGTTTGCTCTGGGCTTGTCTTGGTGCTGCCTCCAACCACATGTGCTGACCCAACTGACAGAGCCAGGGATCACAGGATGAGCCAGTATTTTTCAACAAGGCCACCATGGGTGTTTGGGGCAGGAGAGATCTTTGTGGTACACTGCAGGACCTTTAGCATCCCTGGTCCCTGCCTTCATCCGTGGTGATAACTAAGGTTGCCCCACCAGCATTTCCAACTTCCCCCCATGGGGAACCATGGATCCAGGAGTGCTGAGGTCTTCCAGCTCTGCAGATGCCGTGGGCTCTGTTTGAGAGACGGGAATTCTACGTGTAGTTTCTAGGTATCTGTCCAAGGCCACTCTGTGTCTGGTTCTGCTGAGTCCGGGGGATACTGAGGGAGATAAGCCACACTCACTGTCCCCAGGAGATACGTGTGGGAGCCTGTGCCTGTGGAGAACTGCTGGTGGGTGTGTGCAGACACACCTCTCCTGCCTGCGCCTGCTGGGAAACAGAGTAGTTCCTGGTCCTTTGGGCAGACTCAGAGGTAGAAGTTTGGGAATGGGAGAAAGTGAGGGGGCAGTTAATGTATGTGGTTTAGAATTGCAGGGTGCCCTGCCGGGCTTGAGGGTGATGGTGCCATAGCTGTAATGTTGGCGACTCTGGTGGGTTCCAAGCTACAGCTCTACATGTTTCCTTGTTGGCTTCTCACTTGAAACCCTCCATGACTCCACTTCACAGACGGGAAAACAGGTTCAGAGAGGTTCAGTGACTTGCTCAAGCTCACGAACTAGTGCATTGTGGAGGTGACTCCAGAGCCCATCAGTAGCCCCTCCCTTGCTTCATGCTTGGAGCCAGGTGTCTTGTGCTGCGGGTTCAGATGAATAGAAGCAGCATGCAGGGGTGGGGAACTTGTGGCCTTTTGGTTTTTGCTTTTTTTTTTTTTTTGGCCAGGGCTGGGTTTGAACCTGCCACCTCCGGCATATGGGGCCAGTGCCCTATTCCTTGAGCCACAGGCACCACCCCTTGTGGCCTTTTGGATGTATCAGAAGAGTGTACCATGAAGGCTATGTTAACCAGTTTGGTGAAAATATTTCAAATTGTGTATGGAACCAGCACTCTGTACCCTATGACTGCATTAAAGTACACAGCTATGATTTAATAAAATAAATAAATAAAAAAGAAGAGTTTAGGCCTTTTGACTAAATCCCAATTTTATAGAGCAAATCCTTTTAATAAAGGGATTTGTTCTGTGAAGTTTGGATCATCCCATTTGATTCTCGAGACGACTCTGGAGGAAACATGTTACTATCTCTATTGTGTAAAAGTAAAGTGAGGCTCGGAGACTTAAGTTGCGAGGAGGAGTGGGGGCCACGTTTTGGTAGACTGCAAAGGTCACACTCCCTGCACCTTCAGGTGTGCTCATGCCTGGCCTTTGGGGCAAAAAAAGCACAGCCATTGGCTCAAAGCTGGGTGACCATTCTGCCATCTCACCATCTAGGGTGTGTGCTGCTGGGCCTGGCTTCTTTCACAGGGCCAGGAGCCGGATCAGGGCTCTGCTTCCTGACCTGACAGGCTCTTGCTTGTTCCTCAGGGAGCTGCAGGAGAAGGAGAAGGAGAAGGCACAGCGGCTGCAGAAGGAGCGGCTGCAGAAGGAACTGGAAGAGAAGAAGAAGAAGGTAAGTGGGGCTGGTGGCTCCCATGGGGTCTATGCTGAGCTGGAGGCTGGTCTGGACTCCTGCTGCAGGGGCTGTGTGGGGAGGGCAGGGCAGGGCAGGGCAGGGCATGGTTCTCTAACAGCCTGCTGCTACCTGGGTTCTAGGAAGAGCAGCAACATCTGGCTGAGCGGCAGCTGCAGGAAGAGCAGAAAAAGAAAGCCAAGGAGGAAGCAGAGGCCCGTAAAGCCCTGAACATGACTGTGAACGTGCAGGTGTGTACTGGGCCACAGCGGAGAGGCCCCTAGGGCAGGGAGACCCCACTCTGATCATTTTGTGCGTGGGCAGACACACACATTCTCTCTCTTGAATACTAATACACGTGCGTATTTTTAAGTGGGCACATACAATCTGGCAGCTTGGTTTTCTTATCCCTTTTTTCCCATTTACTCTATTGTAGACATCTGTCTAATTTCCACATATGTAAATTTATTTTTAGTGGCCTCGTAGCAGGCAATTGTGCTGAGATTTAGCCAGTCCCTATTGATGTGCATTTAATCTATTTTCTGTTCAATCTTCTGTTACCAAACAGAAGATAGTATGAGGAAGCATTTCATAGCAGCATAGCTAAGATATTGAAAACTTGGAAGTTAGTAATGTCCACAATGGATGGTAAGTTGCAAATCATGGAGTCCCCTGGAGCCGTTCCCAGGAGGTGAATCTATACACACTGATCTGGGAGAAAGTTTGCTTAACATGCAAAAGGAAGATACAGAGGCATGTATGTCCTATGACTTTTTATAATTGAGAAGTGACCCCTGAACCTTTCTGTTTTTTCCTGTGTGGTGGGGGAGGGGAGGTAATCGGCGCCCTCAGTGGTGAGATGCAGCAGAGCAGTGACGGGTAATTTTTTACAGTCTCCAGTTTGTACTTCCTATCAAATGACACCACGAGGGTACAAGGGGCCTCCCAAGATCAACCCAGATGACTATGGGATGGATCTGAACAGTGATGATTCCACCGATGATGAGTCACAGCCCCGGAAGCCCATCCCTGCCTGGGCCAGAGGTGAGCAAGGCCAAGGGCCCTGGAACTAAGGGTGGGCAGTGGCAGGTGTTGTGCGGGAGGCTGTTGTGCCTGTGGGCTATGGCTGAGGCATTGGCCCTGGGCCTGTAGCCAGGGGATAGTAGGGCACCCTGTGACTGGTAAATTTAGAGTCCTACCCAGCAGTGCTGAAGACACTTGGACCCACATAAGCAACTCTGGGCAGTAAAAGAGTTGAGAGTGGGGGTGATAGGGTTTAGGGACAGTGCTTAGAGCTGGAGATGGGGTTGCCAGCAGCTGGGGAGGGGTAGGACTCCTGAGGAGGGGTGTGAGTACCGGAGCAGGATTTGACCTGGGGTTTACAGGCCCTAGCATTTAAACAAGAGCATGGGTAAGTGAGACTGTGCTGCCTTAGGTCGGGGTACAAGGCCTGCCAGAGTGTGGGCGGGGGTGGTGGTATATAGTGGGTGCTTTGCAGCATTTACTGAGCTGGGAGTCAGGTTGGGACACAGACTCCCCGGACAGAAGGGCTTGGAATCCTGTAGCAGGTCATGGCTCCACAGAAGGCAACATTCCTTCAGCAGTTTTGCCTCATTTGAACCCCACAGTAACTGGAATCTGACTTAGTCTCTTTAACTAGTGTCAAGTCTTGTGGGAGGTGGCTATGAAGCCACCTCATCATAGTTGATCTTAACAGTTCCCTCATCTGTGAAATGGGGGTGATGGGAAGACACAGCTGAGAAGGTTTCTTGAGAGTGATGTGGGTTCCTTAGAGTGGCACGTGGTGCCAAGCAAGGCCTACGTGCAAGTCCCCCCGGTCACCCAGAGGCCCCTGCAGCCTGCACCCTCTGCACCTTAGGGCCTGTGGGGTTGATGAGAAGGTGGTTGATAGTGGTGTCACACGCTTGAGTTCTGGAGCCGGACTTGTCTCTGCACCTTGCTCTGCCATTGTTAGCTGTGTGCCTTTGAGCAGATCTCCCCATTGTAGTGGGGACAATGAGCTCATGAAGTTGAGGGTTCAGCCTGTGTCTGATTCACACAAGCTATGAGGACTTTGTGCAAGTTAAGCTGCTGGCGGAGGCAATGAGAAGAGGGAGTGAGAGTGTTCTCAGCGTTTGTATCTGGATGCAAGCAGGAGCAGGGCCCTGAAAGAGACATGCTGGGCTGGAGAGGGTGGCAGGGGATGAGGTGGCTCATAGCCCCAAAGCAGTAACCAGCCCACATTCCCCTGCAGGTACTTCGCTCAGCCAGGCCATCATCCACCAGTACTACCACCCCCCAGACCTTCTGGAGCTCTTTGGAATCATTCTCCCGTTGGACTTGGAGGACATCTTCAAGAAGAACAAGCCCCGCTACCACAAACGAACCAGCTCTGCCGTCTGGAACTCGCCACCCTTGAAGACCTGACCTACAGCCTAAAGAAGCACTGAGGCAGGTCCACGGCCTTGCCAGGGATCTCAGCTCCTGTTTGTGTCCGTCTGTCCATTTCTGTGTTGGTCTGGTGCCCTCTGCCTGGTATGCCGCTGCTGGGAGCTTGGTCAGGTGTACATATCCCTTCCCTGTGTTTCGGGCATTTCTGCTGCAGGTGGAAGGTGCCCCCAGGTCTGTTTGGAAGATGGGCTTGGTGGGTGGTTGGGGAAGAACTGAGCCCAGCCCCACCTGGCCCGCAGACAGCACTCTGTAAATAGACTGTTATAACTTCAGCTGCATTTTAGTATTTTAGTCTCTGAGAGCGAGATTAATAAAGTATATTCCTTTACAGCTGCTGTTGGTATCATGGAAACTGAGGGCCTTAGCATGATCCCTGGTCCCTGGCCCTGTAGCCATGTGTCTTAGGCATCAGAGGGCTGGAGGACCAAGGCACTGTCCTATCACCTGAGTGTGCGTCAGGATCACCTGGTGTGGGGGTCCCTCTCCCAGAGTGCTGCTAAGTGAGTGATCCTATTGCCCGGACTACCCTGAGGGACACTTAAGTTACTTTCGAGATGAGGCAGGTGCAGCTGCTTCCTGTTCTGGGGCACTCCGTTTGTATAGGGGAGCTTGCTAGCAGGCACAGCTTCCTTCTGGCTCCACTGAATTTAAGGTAGAACCTTCTGGCTCCAACTAGGTTTTTAATAGCCTATGCTGCAGTGGAGATATGGGCCATGAGCTGTTGTCCCCTGCAGCTCAGTCTGCTGAGCAACAGCCAGTGCTGGGTACATCCTGCTTGGGCAAGAGCAACCTCTGCTTTTCTGGGCTTCCGTGCTGCAAACACTCCTCCAGAAGGTTTGGGAAAGAAGGAAGAGCAGGTATAAGAAGGGAAGCAAGAGGTTGCAAGCTATCCAGATCCAGGTTATTGTCCTGTCTGAGCTTTTGGGAGCTTGATTCTAAAATCTGGGCAGCAGCGCCAGAGCTAAGCTGTGGCCCTTACTGCGCTCACACCCCGGCCAGCAAAGCACAAAGTAGCTTACGTGGCCAACCCCAACCACATCCCCACAATGACAAAATTCGAAATTCTGGGTTTTCTCAACCAAAGTAAAACACACTGCATATTGCAAGGAGGGAGTGAACTCAAGTTTCTCATAAAGGGGAGCCTTTAAAGTGTTTTTTAAGCAATTGCACCCTCATTGGGTATTTGGCTTTATTGCAATTTATTAAGCCTAATAGTGGATATGAAGGCAGACGCTTTGATTCAGGTTGAGTTGCCTAAATCCATGAAGCTTTAATCCTATTTGCCCATAAACATACACAGACTCATCCACCTACATTGCTTTTCTCTTTAATCCCTATTCTTTTGCTCTTAAGATGTAGGAGAGTTGATAATACCAGATTAATTCCAGGTTAACTATTCTGGGGTTGCCTATGAAAGAAGAGGCAGTAACTCACGAGTGCCGTGGCATTTTCAGGATCTCTGCTGATTTTCCTCCCAGCTTTGCTCCTGGCCTGAAAGGCTTGGGTTAAGTGGGGAACTGGTCCCAGAGAATCAGAGCCAGGCAACTTGAAGAGTGTTTGGTGTCTCTGAATTGTGACTTGAGAGTAACAGGCAGGGACCCTTCCGGGAACTCACTCTTGCCCTGTATTCCCCTGGGATGCTGTAACAAAATAAACATAGATTATCTCCAAATGAGGGCTCCTATAACTAATTGCTTTTTTTTTTTTTTTTAATCGAGACAGAATCTCACTTTGTCACTCTTGGTAGAGTGTCCTGGTGTTATAGCTCACAGCAACCTCAAACTGTTGGGCTCAAATGATCCTCTTGCTTCAGCCTCCCAAATAGCTGGGACTACAGGTGCCTGCCATGGCACCCAGCTACTTTTTTAAGAGATGGGCTCAGGTTGGTCTCTAACTCCCGAGCTCAGGCAATCCACCCACCTCAGCCTCCCAGAGCAATAGGATTGCAGGTGTGAGCCACTGCACCCAGCTTAACTAATTGCCTGAACTCAGAATTGTCCCAGAGGTCCAGTGAAGGGCCAGGAAACAGGCCTGGAGGGTGCAGCCACCATTGTGGGAGTTAGCAGGGAATTGGGCAGCTTAGAAGGCTCTTGGCCAGTTATCTCCTAGTGTAGTCATTTGCATGTTTGTGACAGCCCTAGATGATATTTATTGAGAGCAGGCACTGTGGCTTAAAGAATGACTTGAAGCTTTGCAGGCAATCTGTAAGCTCAGGTGGTGATCACGGCTTCATTTGGTCAGCAGTTTATCAGAGACACCTTTTGGGGCTGAGAGAGGCCAAATTCAGCAGCTACTTGAGTGGCCACCATGTTTCTTAAAGGGACAACTTTTGTGGCCCCCAAACCTCTTCTTACTCCAATCCCCTTACTGACATCAGCACCACACCACCCTCCCAATCAGAGCACCAGCCCTCGCTCACCTGTATGGCAGACCCCAGAGCAGGGAGGGGCCTCATCATGAAGGCGATTGCAGTGCTTTTATGAAAGGAGCAAAGAAAAGGCCACAGCAAGGCAGCTGTAGATTGAGATAGTGATGCTTGTGGGAGCAGAAGTGTGTTCCCACTCAGGCCCAGTCCCAAGGCTCAGCTAGGAAGAACTCCCATGTGGTGCCACTGGCTGGCCCTTTGGCACTTGCGTCTCCTACTGAAGCAGATTGAGGAACCCAGCATGGCAACGAAAGCCAACTCCATCTAACCATGTTCCTGGGATTGTTTTAAAAATACAAATAACCAACCTTTTTTTTTTTTTTTTAGGGACAGAGTCTCACTTTATCACCCTCTGTTGTAGAGTGCTGTGGTTTCACACAGCTCACAGCAACCTCCAACTCCTGGGCTTAGGCAATTCTCTTGCCTCAGCCTCCCAAATAGCTGGGACTATAGGCACCTGCCACAATGCCTGGCTTTTTTGTTGTTGCAGTTTGGCTGGGCCCAGGTTTGAACTCGCCACCCTCGATATATGGGGCCGGTGCCCTACTCACTGAGACACAGGCACCACCCCAAATAACCAACCTTTAATTATAAAGTGCCTATTGTCTGCAAGGCACTGGGTAAGTGCTTTGCCTTAGCTGTAACCCTCAATTGCATCTTTTCTCTGAGTTGAGGGGTGATATTTTTGTCTTCAGAGTTAAAGTTGCCTATTGTGGTGGCTGACACCTGTAATCCTACCACTCCGGTAGGCCAAGGCAGGTAGATGGCTTGAGCTCAGGAGTTCAAGACCAGTCTGAGCAAGAATGAAACCCTGTTTCACTAAAAATAGAAAGACTAGCTGGGTGTGGTGGCCGGTGCCTGTAGTCAGCTGCTTGGGAGGCTGAGGCAAGAGGATCTCTAGAGCTCAAGAATTTGAAGTTGTGGCTCGGGGCCTATAGCTCAACCGGCTAAGGCGCCAGCCACGTACACCTAAGGTGGCGGGTTCGAATCCCCAGCCCGGACCCGCCAAACAAC